ATCCCGGAAAGGATGCGGGAGGGATAGGGAGGGCGAGGCTACCATTGGGCCCTTTTCCTTGCAAAAACACACTCCAGAGGCAGAAGAGCCAGTAGTGAGGGGAGCAGCCCCTCGACCACCCCGGAAGTGCAGCCTCTCTTCTCAAGCGCCTGTGTGGCCTGGCTCAGTGATGGAATTAGAGTGTCACTGGGTCAGCCCAGAGTTTTTTGTGCCAGGAGCCTCCACGTGTGGATGTTCTTGCACCTTTAAAGTTAGTCAGTGTTCACAGACTACCTCGGGTCAAATATGTTATCTATTGTTCTCTGGGGTCATCCCAGTGCCACCTGTTTGAGAACAAACTCTGAGGAGAGCTCTGTGAGGCCTAGGGAGAGACCTTTTGGGGTCTATCCTCCACCTGGGTCACCTATGAGGCTCCCACACAATGGCATGGCCAATTTGAGGCTCTGCTTCTTCCCCCCCCCACCCCCCCACCCCTAACTCAGGTGAGGAAGAGGCCCTGGCAGGTCTTTCTTTGCACAGCCAATCTGCCCCCAAGAAATAGGCAACTGGGCTCCAGGCCTGCTGCAGAGGCCCAACTAACCCGCCCACTTGCAAAACCAGCTCGGAATGTGCAGCAGGGAGAAAGAACGAATGTGCTAGAACCCAAGGTCCAGCCGGATGGCGTAAGCTCCAGAGCCTTCCAGGAAGCTGGGAGCAGGTAGAGGAGAGGCAGGCCGCCCTGTACAGCCTGGGGGCACCTCTCGTTTCCACTCTGCCTGCACCAGCTCCCCTCCCTTAGAGCTTCCTGGTTTGCTTGCTCGGTTTGCTGGTCTCTGTTTGCCTTCGCCTCTGCTTTCATTGAAATCCTCCCCTGGCTGAGTGCTGGGTATAGCCACCTGACCCTTGGGTCAGCTCCCAAGGGACTCATGGGAGGGGAGGAACGGGAGGAGAGACAGTGTAGGCCGGTGGTGGTATCAGCCCCCAGAAGCCGTTCCTGAGTGGGCCCGTGGCCTGGGAGTACTGCGGGTCCCCGTCGCTCTGTGTTCCCCTTGCTGGTACAATGCTGAGTAACCAAGTTTGACCTCTAGGTGTTCTCACCTCCCCTGTGCTGTAGGACACCCCAGGAAAATGCCACCTTTTCAATCCCAGTGAGTCACGAGTTCTACGCTCCTCCGTGCCTCTTGGGACTCGCTTAATATTTTTTTAAAGCCCACAGAGTTGTAAAATGTATCCCTAGGAGATGGAGGAGAAACCCTGTAATCCCACTAGCAGGCACTTGGATGCTGTGGAGGCGAGGCACCCTAAAACAGGAAAGGTGAATGGTACAGATTCAGTCCAAGACAAACCTACAGGCCTGTTTGCCTCCAGCATCAAATTTCCCACCCCGCAGTCAGCGTCCCACAGCCCCTACCCATTTACAGCACCTCCCCTCATTTCGTTTTAACTCTTGGACTTTTAAACTCAAACAGGCCCCACCATCAGCAGCTGCGGGAGGCAACATGCCCTAGGCTTCATTCCTGGATTTTCCGAAAGTTCTGGATGCTTACTTGCCACTGGGAACCCAGGGAAAAATCTGTGCCTGGGGGGTGCTTGGAAGGAGACTTGGGGAGACAAGAGAAAGTGCCCGGGCACTGGGCCAGCACCTCTGCCAGTGCGGCCTAACCGAGCCGGAAGAGCCTGGCACAGCTCCTCTGTCACCCGGGCCAGCTCACCCGCCCAGCCTGCACCAGCTTCCTCGGCCTGGAACCGCATTCGGCGACTTTCCCTACAAATACCCAACTTCAGCCTTCCTGGTTATTTTAGTCTTTTGAATAAAAGGAGTGCGCTTCAAAAAGAAACGTTGCTACAACACAACCAGGGGCCTTTGCTGCAGCTCTGTCTGCAACTCGCATGCGTTCAGTCTAGTAACTTTTAATGTCTGGCCCTAAAATGTCTTTATAAAAAAATAGCTTTACAGCATAATAGTCCAGGTGTCTTTCTGCTTGTTACTGGAGATTAAAAAAATGTGTGGGTTAGCTTTGTGAGACATCCGCCCCCAGAAAGACTGCGGGAAGAAAAAAAAAAGAGAGAGAGAGAGAGAGGCAGACATTCCATTCTGCAGGGGCTCAGCCCCTGGACTGGTTCTTGCACCCAGTTAAACTGGGCACTGCAGGAGGGGGACACTGGCTTTGCCTGCCTTTTGCATCAGTTGTTCTAAGCAGCTCCGGAGCTTGAACACTTCATTCTGGTTGAAGTTTCAGGTTTAAATGGTAGAGAAGCAGAAGTGAAACATCTCAATGTGCTGAGAACTCCAACAGAATGAATAAAATCGCACCTAGTAGTCGTCCCAGTGCGTTGTGAGTCTAATTTTTTTAAGGGAAAATATCTACTAGCGAAAGTTGATTTTGGCCTTGACCTTGACTTAGTAATCAACTTGAGATGCTTTTGATTATTTTTGTCATGGGGACACTCCAGGATATTATTTTTTAAATATTTATTTTTATGGAAAGTCACATATACAGAGAGAAACATCTTCCATCCAATGACTCACTCCCCAAGTGACCACAACGGCCGGTGCTGTGCCGATCCGAAGCCAGGAGCCAGGAGCCTCTTCCAGTTCTCCCACGCGGGTGCAGGGTCCCAAAGCTTTGGGCCGTCCTCCACTGCTTTCCCAGGCCACAGGCAGGGAGCTGGATGGGAAGTGGAGCTGCCAGGATTAGAACCAGCGCCCATACGGGATCCCGGTGCGTTCAAGGCGAGGACTTTAGCTGCTAGGCCATCGCCCTGGGCTTTCTCCAGGATATTTAAAAACTTTCCGTGTGGATTTACAAGCCACCACCATTTCGGATTTATATTCTCATGCAAGCCTGCACCATCTTGTCCTTAGGCAGAAAGATACACTCCGCCCCCCTTCCCCAGCGAGAAGCTCCAGGCGGTCACCTCTGGCCGTGATGTCCTGCAGGCCCGCAGTCTGGGTGCGGTTAGACCGGAACCCCCCTCCCCCACTCCCACCCTTCCCGCCAGCCTCACGAACCGGGCTCTTCGGTTCGCCCTTGAGGCTGGGCGCTGGTGGGGGGCGGAGTGTGGGTGTGTTGCGCGGAGAGGCCGGAACCTCATTTCTCCGCTTCCCCCTCCCCCCAGCCTGCCTCCTGCCCTCCTCCCCGCGCCCAACGCCGCGCTGAGTGCGCTGGTGGATCTCTGTACGTGTCAGTAGAATTGAACTGCTGCGGGCGCAGGCTGTACGCCGCCGCCGCGCCTGATCAGCCCGACGCTACCGAGTGGAAATTTATGGAGCAAACGGCGTAAGCCAAAAGTTGTTCCTTGCCAAGGGAAATAAAACACTGGAGATCATCTCCCGAGCCTTGGGTGAGGGGCCCAGGCAGACCCTCCAACCTGGTGAGGTCGCAAACCTGGAATGCTGGACATCCCGGAGCGAATCCGGCGGATATCTGTTCCCCGACCCTCCCCCCGCCACCGGTCCCCCCCTCCCCGGCCCCTGGAACCCCTAAGAGGCTACTCCCCCTTCCCGCCCCCTCCGCCTGCAAACAATTCCCACACAATTGAAACGTCCGGGGGAACTCGGGCGCAGAGTTAGGGCGGAACGGCCACCGTTGCGTTGCCCGGGGTGGTGTTTTCTGCTTAGCTCTTGACACCGAAGTGGGAAAAAGAGCTCCTCCGGGAGGAAGGAGCGGACGGCAGCAAGACGAGGCGCCGACGCACGCCCGCTGGGCTCTGCGGGGGTCTCGGAAGGGGGACCCCAGGCCGAAGGGGGAGCGCTGCGCCGGCGGCGGAGAGGTGGCTGCCGCTGGGGTTTGACAGCTTGGGCTGAGCGCAGTGCGAGGCGCTTTATGGTAATTGCGGTCCTCCACTGGCCTTCTGGGTAGCAAGGGGAGTCTCGGCGCGCGGCTGTGAGAGTCGCCCCTGCCGCCCCCGGTACGATCCCGCGGGCCGCTACCGCCGCCGCCGCCTCCCCAGTCAGTCTCGGGCTTGCCCAAGGCGTGCGCCGGGAGCGGGCGTGCGCAGCCAACTCGGTGTGAGCTGAGAAAGGGGAGGGCTGGGGGCGTGTGTGTTGCGGGTGTGTGTGAGGGGGGGGCGCCACCCAAGTGGTCCGAAATTCGGAGCTGGAGAGGCCCAAATGCGCCCTGCCAGGGATGGATGACGGCCGGGGAAACTCGGGCAAATCATTCCTGGGGGAATCGCCCCGCTTCAAATCCCATCGCGGCGGCGCCGCAGCGCGGAGGGTAAGCGGAGACTGCGAGAGCTCAAACTTGCGAGAGCTGGAGGCGGCGGCGACGGGCGGGCGGGAGGCTGTAGCCTGAGCGCTGTGCCTGCGGGGGAGGGGAGGCGGCTGCTTGCTGGGAGGGAAGGAGGGAGGGCGGAGGGAGGGGGAGGAGGAAGAGGAGGGAAGCAGGGAGGGGGGACGCGTTGGGATCACGGCGTGCGGCGGCAGACGGAGCCCGGGCTCCCAGCGGCAAGGTGAGGCAGGGCTGCGCTCCTCGCTGAACGCGGGCAGAGCTCGGCGGCTGCGGGGGGAGCCGCAGCCGAGACCCACGATCGAAAGCGGGAGCGAAAGCGGGAGGCGGCGGAGGGGGAGCCCGCGAGCCGCCAGGCGGAGAGCCCAAGCCGCGCTGTCGCCGCGCAGGGACGACTTGGCCAACACACACACACACACACACACACTCACACACATCCAGCCCGAGCGGGCGCTCGCGGCGAACCGACAACATGGCGCTGGGGTTCCTGCCCGGGCGCGGGAGGCAGCGGCGGCGCGGGAGCTGCTGCTGCTGAAGCTCCGGCTGAGCCCAGTCCAGCTGCGGGAGCCTGAGACGATAGCGCGGGGCTGTCGCCACCTGCCCGGAGGCTCCGAGTCCGCCCCGCCCCGCCCCGCCCCCACTCGGCCCTGAGCCCACCCCTCGGCGGGGCCGACCCCGAGGGCAAGCCGGCTGGCAGCAGACGGCGAGGGAAGCGAGCGAGCGCGGTGCTGAGAGCGGGCTGCGGGCAGCCGGGGACGGCAAACTTTGCTGATCGCCGCGCTTCCCCAGCCCAGCTCCTTCTTCGCTCGTTACCGTCGCCCCCCCCACAACCTCCGAACCCCGCACACTTCTCCCTCACCCGCTCCACCTCCCCGCCTCGACTCCGCTGGGTGGCGGGGGGTGCGGAAACTTCAAAGCGCCGGATCACAGGCTCCTTGACTGCTCCTCGACTGGGAATTTCAGGTCAGTGACCGAAACACCTTTCCCGGGGGAGGCCGCGGGCGGACGGGCGAGCGGGCGCGCCGAGGGCTGCCATCGGCCCCCCTTCCCGGGGAACCCGCCCGCCGCGGGGTTTTCTCTTCGGACTCTTCGTGGACGCCGCCGCGAAGCTTTTCTGCTTCGCGCTTTCCTTTAGCTGCTTGGCTAGCTTTCGTTTTGATTTTATAGCTGTAAGTTATTAGAAATGCAGCCAACCCAAGCGGCCCCGCGAGGGCACCAGGGAGGGAGGGGCGCAGTGGAGAAGGGTCCCTGCTGTTTCCTCCTACCCCACGACCCCTGGGGGGGGTACGGAGCAGAAAAGGGAGTTCGCAGAGTGGAAGTTTGCAGCCAGTGTGTGTGTGCGCGGTCACAGGGAGTCGAACGGAGTGGCGCCGGGCGCGCGGGGCGGTGGGGGGGGGGGCGCCCGTTGGGCTGGAAGCTGGGGAGCTCGGCTCGGCGTTAGCTCGCGAGCAGGAAGGGGAGGGCGGTGGGTTCCCGTCTGCTTTCTTTTTCTACTCGGGAAAGAACTGTAAAAACCCCCAAGCCGCTGCCGCTTGGTCTCGCCTCTCCAGGGGCCGCTCGTTCTTCCAAGTGGAACGCCGGCGTGTGCGTGCGCTAGGGTGTGTGTGGCGGGCGCCTCGGGCCGAGCCGAGCTCGACCTGCTGCCGCCGCCGCGCAACTCGGCAGGGGAGTCCCAGGTTTTTTCTCGGCTTGCCCCAAAGCGTTGAATCACGTGAATTAAAAAAAAAAAAAATCTAGGAATTCTTGCCGAGCCAGGGGTTCGGATTCGGCCCGTCCGCCCGCGAGGTCGGACGCTTTGTTTTGTAAATGTTCTCTGTAGATTGCGTTCCGCGGCCCCCTCCCACCTCTGCTCTCTCCTCCTTCCCACCGCACTCACCCGTCGGTGGGGGAAGGGTGAATTTTTAAGTTCCTAGTCCCCCGGGGTGGGTGTAAAATGTGATTGGGAGGGGGCCGGGGGCCGGCGCGCTTGTATCGGGCTGTGGGGGAGTCTAGTGGGAAGCCCTGATGGGCGTGTGAAAGTCTGGGGCTGGAGGAAGTTGGTCCCACTTGAAGGGCGTGCGGCGCGGAGGCTCGGGGCGAAGAGGAACTTGCGCACCCGGGCGCGATCGGCGGCCCCGAGAGGGGCGGGCGAGGTGCTGACGCGCCGCGGGGCCCGCGCTCGGAGCGGCGGGAGGCTGTGCTGCAGAGCATTCGCCAACTCGGGGACTCCGGGCGGCGGTGACGAGCGCTTGCTGTTTACGAAGAGAGGCGCCGGGCGCCGTGAGCGGACAGTGGCAGTTGGAGGCACGCGTGGTGGTCCCGGCGGGGCTTGCAAATGCTCGCACGCTCGAGGGCACACGTACCCGCGTCCCGGAGATCGCCGAAGCTGGCCGCACGGAGGCCGAGACCGGACGAGCCTTAATTTGCTGTTAATGAATCTTTTCCAGAAAGTCCGCGATCTCTAGCTGGAAGCTGTGAGTGCCCGCGCGCGAGGGCGCGCGCCGCCGGCGTCTGGAGGTGGGGGTTGGGGGAATGAAAGAGCGAAGAAGGAAGCAGGAGGGTTATGTGTATTTAAAAACAAACCTTAAAAAAAAAAAAACCCAGCATGCTTCAAATAGGTATTCGTCCAGCCTCGCTGTGTCTCGAGAGCTCGGGGTTTTGGTTTGTGTGAGTGTGGGGGGGTTCCCCCCTTTTTTCTAGCCGAGAGGAGGCTAGGAGAGGAATGATGGCATTTGATTCCAAAGCTAGCCTGGGGCGGGGGGGGGGAATCCTTAAAATGGCCTGGGAGTAAAAAACGAGGAGGAAACGGCCCAACCCAGAAGGTGGTGGGTGGTGAGCTCAGACAAGACTTGGGTGTTTCTAGCCATCTGACACTTCCTGTGGCACTGCAAACGGACACCGCGGGCCGAAATCAATCCTTACGAGGTGTTAGATTCGGTTTTGCCAACAGAATTGCCTGTGTGGAAGGCATTTTAATTGTCAGCCTCGGCGACCGGTGTCCGTGGGCACTTGGGAGACACACTGGCTCCTTGGCCCCTCCTACTATACCTCCCCCCACTCCCTCCCCGACCTGTTATCTGGCCTGGGCTTTGCAGTGTTGGTTCTCATATTGATATCAGGCACGATTTCGCCGCGTAAAGGGCGGTGGGGGGGGCGGGGAGAAGAGGCGCTGATTAATATGCCGTCCAGGTTTTATCCAGGGCTGGCCTTCGGTGTGGCGGGTGAACACCGCCACGCACGCGAATGGCCTGGGGTGGTGAGGGGAGTGCGCCGGGTTCGGGCGCCAGGCGCGAGGCCCCGCAGGTCGGGGGCTGGGGCTCGGCCGGCCCCTGCGCTGTCCTTTGAGACGCTGTCACCAGTAGGTGACTGAGAGTTAATTAGGAAGTGTTCTCCGGATCAATGGGCCGCACAGCTCATTAGCGATTCTCTCCAGCCCCTTTGCAGGGCCGGACTGGCCTCCGCCTCCCACACAGGCCAGGGCTCCGAGGTCCCGGCTGCGGAGAGCGCCGCTGTGAAGCGGGGAGGGGCCGGCAGCCAGGGACAGCGGGGAGGCGAGTGTAACTTTGCGGGGCGGCGCGTCGCGTGCGGCGCCGCGAGGCCCGCGCAACCGACTCTTTTCTTCCTGCTCGCGGTCGCCTCCACTGTGTCTTTAACTCGCTCCCGCTCGCGTCGCTGCCTAGCTGCTCCTCCCCGCCTCCCTCGCCTATCTCTTGTTCTCTAAGCACGACGCCTGTGCTCCCCGCCCAGTTTGGGATTAGACAAGATAAAAATAGGACTGCCCTGCGCGTAAGAGCTGGGACTGTGTCCCGGTAGCATGGCTGGTGCGAGCGCCAGGGGGCCGGGGCCCCGCGGTGCGCTCTGGGCACCCAGCGCCAGTAGGCTCCTGCCCCCACCCTGCAGGCGCCGTCACGCTCCTGAGGTTCTGTCCCCCGTGAGCCGTGCGGGCCGGGGACCCGGGCAGGGTCTCGGGCGCTCTCGCGGGTGTTGTTGGTGTGCCGGTGATAGATCGGTCTAGACAGGCATGCAGGCTCCCTCCCGGCGGAAGGGCGGCCGGGAAGGTTGGGGGGGGAGCGCAGAGACGTCGTGCGGACTCCCGCGAGCGACGAGTGAGCGAGCTAGCCTGCGGGCCCAGCGAGCTGGAGTGAAGGCTGTGGGGGTTTCGTTTAACCCTTTAAGGGTGATGGGGTTTGTGTCGGGGGGAAGGGGCGCTGGGACTAGCAGGAATTCCTAGAGGCCAGTGGCTGGGGGGTGGGGGGGGAGTGGTCGCCTAGGCTGTGAAGTCCCCTTTCTGTGACTGGTCGCATCCTGCTGCAACGGGATCCTTCCACAAAAGCTGCTAGATGGCTGGTCCAGTTTGATTGGGTACGTCTCAACAGAGTAACTGTGAACACACATACAACGAGGGACACCCTCACTTTGGGAACTCGATGCGTGAGACACCACTGTGCACCTCAGAATTCTGTGGCCTTGAAAGAAGGGGAGGGATGGGTCTGCGCGGAGCGGTGATCCCGCAGAGAAAGGACTGAAGCCCCACACGCCCAGCCTAGCGAGTTCACCAATGTACGGGACAGAGCCCAACAGGCCCTTGAGTCATCTATATAAATATAGATGTACTTTTAACCACGAACTTGTGGGGAGTTGGATGTGTCAGTAGACAGCCTCCAAACAGGACTTGGACACAAGTGTGTGGTGAGACCCATTATTTGTGTCCACCCACGTGGGGGGCTGATCTTGACTCCAGTGCAAGTCTGTGAGCAGAGTACCCAGTGCATAAAATGCCCTCTCCACTGCCCCCTCTCCCTTGGAAGGCATTCTCTGCCCACAGCAGCTGCATAGTGGCCCAGGCCTGGAATGAGCCCCATTCCACGCAAGCAAGGAGAATATAAGGCTAGGGAGCGAATAGAGAAGACAGGATTGCTCGGATTAAGATGTGCGACTGAATGACAAATCAAGACACTTGTGCTGAGACAAATCAAGACACTTGGGCTCAGATGCCCACACGGAGTGCAGAGATAGCGGAAGAACTGGCCAGGAGGCCCGCAGACGCAGCTATGCAAATACCGTGATGTATAGCAATATCAAAAGAAGGAAAAAAAAAAAGGCCCAGGACTTGGTGGAGCTGCAAACTGGGGCAGAATTTCTCTAAGTTCCAGAGACAAAAGCCCATTTAAAGGTATGAAGAGGGCCACTAGGAAACACAAAAAGCATTCATATGTAGACATCCTTGCTTAGGTACACTGGCTGAATGACAAAAACTCCTGCTTGCCTAATGAAGGTGGCTGCGGAAGTGTGGGCCCCGGCCCACACTCATTCACAGGCTAATGGATCTCTGGCCCTGCTGGGAAGCTAGTGCCCCAGCCGCCGGCCCAGCCGAGGTGCCTCTGCTTAGGGTTTCTGGATCTGGCTGGGGGAGGGAAAGGTATGTGTAGAGCAGGTAGAATTCCTAAAGAGTTTTCCAGTCCTTGAGCTGCGGGGCGGGTTTGGTGGGGCAAAGAGAACTAAGTTTTCCACTTGGCAGCGGGGAGGAGATGGTGCCGCACGTCTGGGGTCCTGTGTGCGGCGAAAAACTGAAAGTGTGGCCTCTGGGAGGAATAAGGGGAAGGAGGGGAGACTGTCCTGTTGCGTGGTTTTTTTTTTTTTCCTGGAAGAGACCACGCAGGGGCCGGGGGCCAGGACGGCTTGTGTAGGGTGGATTAACAGACGGCGCCTGGGTGACCCAAGACGCGCACGTAAACTCCTGCGAAGGGTTTGGTTTTGCCCGCGGCGTCGATTTGCTGCGGTCCCTCTTTGTCTAAGCGCAGCCGGGAATTCCAGCTTTTATGGGGAAGACCGCACTTGGGTGGAGCCCGCGCAAGGCCGGGCGGGGCAGGGCTGGGCGGGCAGGTTCGTCGGTCCGCCGGTGCCGCCCCAACCCCAGGACCGGTCCTCGGCAGCGCCGGACAGCCCTTGGCGATGCCACGATGGTGTGGTTTCCTCGAGGGCTC